TCGATGACTCTAAGTATGCAAAATATTTCCAGAATTAAAAATATTACATTAAAGTACTTGCACATCTGAAACAATTATTCCTGGCTTAACTTACTTCTGGGTAAGACCTGAGCTAGTATGTGTTTACTGGTCTAAACACCAATAAATGATGATGCAGACTTCTTGCTTAATTCTCTTTTACATTATAGAAAACCCATCGTGTACCTGTAGGCATTGTAGAGATTCCTCTTTTCATTCATGTTTTGACATCGTCCCTCCACAGAACAAGGAAGAGTGAAATTTCTTGCTGGGAATTCCATAAAACAGTCACTGTTACTGGTACAAGGACTTTCCTCAATACTGGCATCGTCCAGATCTGTCACTTTCAATTCCCCATCTACAATCACAAACTGTCGAGGACGAAAGTCCAGTAACGTCACAGAGCCAAGAGGAGAGTGAGCCAAATAATGTAAGAGCCGAACTAAGCTGAGACATATCTGAAAAATAAAAACATGAGTCCCTGTGTTATTTTCTTAGCACAGAGCACATAAATTAAACCATTTTAATTGCAGATATGTTCATAACTGTGCCTAAATATAAGCATTACAACTTATCTCCAAAACTGAAAGTTGCTTCCAAAGTATTTTTTTTCAGAGGATTAACACAGTTGATGCTAATAACCCTTAGAGACTTGAAACCAAAATAAGCTTCATTTTACTAGTGTTTTCCCACACTATTCTTGAAGCATGGCCCATTGTTGCTATTCTTACTTTTAATAGAAATAAAAGCATCTACTTTTAATAACACATTACATACGGGCCTTGATCATGCAGTCTAGGATTCTGGTTTTTTACAAGCCCAAGATCTGAGATTTTTGGCTTCAACACTCTGTGCCTATAACTGGAGCAGAAGATGCCTGTCTGTATTGTCTCTTCACTGATGACTCCTTTTCAGTGTTTTTATACTTATTTTCTACTGGTTTCTCTTATATTTGTCTTGTTTCCAGGGGAGAATAAAGCAAATACACCGACAGTGTAGTTCAGTAGCTCCTCTGACCCAGAAGGCAGACACTGGGCACATCCAAAGTTGTTCCTCCAGACTGTGTATTTCTGAGGCACTAGCTCTGACACTTCTGTTTTCATTTCCTTGCCTGACAGACTAGAACATTTTTCTTCTACTTCAATGACACCAAGAATTTGGTGTCATTCACACAGGCACATATGCCCACGAGCAGGGACACGAGGTGGCAGGTTTGCTGGCTCTCCTCCGTCTAGAAGCACACACAAGTCTTGTGCTGTCCTAGGGTACAGCACACTGCATATAAAAGGAAGCAGATAGTGTTGCTGGGGAAATGGAAGCAGGTCAAAATGAAGCATCCAAAAAAATTGCTTTTCCTATGGGCAAGTACATCACTGAACTGCCCCAG